ATATATATATATATATACATATTCTGCCCTAGTATTGTGTCTTCTTTCGGCTTTAGGGAATCTCGGGACGCTACACAAATAAAGGACTTGAATTTATGACCTGTTTATGATTATTTTGCTTTACGGAATAAAACTTGCAAAAAAATTTTAAATTTAATAAAAAACTGTAGCAAAGTGGAGGAAATATATACATTTGGCTATGGCACACAATACTATTTTCACATCACATTTTTTTATACTTCCATAAGCAGAATTATATTGCCAATGCTATAAAAGTGTAATTTTTGTTTACAATTGCCTTTATAAGCTTTTTAAAGTCTAATTTTTAAATTACATAACTTTTGTGTTTGACTACATTGTCGGGCCAGGTCCTCTTAGTGCCGCGCGTTCGAGAAGGTTGTATTTCGGTAATTATATTTTGAACTTGTTGTGATCAGCAAAGCAATTTCTAATCAAAAACGGTGTGTGAAGGAGGCGAGCGAAAAAAAAAGAATCAAGTCTGTATTTTACTACTTCTATCTAACCTTTGGAGTCCGCATATAAGGGATATCGTGCCTCCAAGATTTGAAAATCGTGTTCTGCACTTAACAAATATGTCTATGTTGAGCTTGGGCATTTACCGAATGTGATCAGTTGACATGAATCTACTGCATTTGCACGTCACTTGCATTCTCTGGAAGTTGATTCTGTCATTGACTTGCAGTCTTTATTACCTGGACTTGTTGGAGAACAGAAACGCTTGACTCTCGGAGGACTTTCGAAACTACGAGAATCTGGAATGTCTGCTTATAACGGGTAATTGCCTCAGTGCTATGTTAAATATTGTTCATCGGTAGATGTGCTTTTATGTGACCGAAAATGCTTAATCGAACATTATATTAGCGCGTTCAGACAATTAACTACGAGTGCTTGAAGGAGCACTGCTTCACCGGTCACCCTAATTGGTAAAACTTAGGGCGTGTTAGTGACAGTCTTGTCGTCTGTAAAGTCGGAAAGTTAGTTGGCGGAGGGTGCAAGAAGCTGCGGAATGCGTCCAATAACTTGCAGCTTGATTCTCATAGGATCTCTAGCCAGAGCCGCCCCTACCAGGGACATTCTGCTGTTATTCACCGAGGATGCGCTGGTCACCGTTAGGGCCTCGACCGAGTCAGAGTGGACTTCTGTGAGTAAACTATTTTTTCATTTTTGACATTGCCTGCATTCCTTTTCTACCTCTTAGACAGGATTTCATAGGCGTTTCAGCTTATTCGCAGTGACATCGAAATGACGGTTTTACTATTCAATCCTTTACTTTACTTTACTTTT